TTGTTTGGCAGGCCCGGGCTGGATTTGAACCCGCCACCTTAGGTGTATGTGGCTGGCACCTTAGCCACTTGAGCCACAGGCGCCGAGCCAGGACCTAAAATCTTAACTTGGAGAACTGCTTATAGTATCTCAGCACTGCTGTTAAATCACCCAAATACAGCTAGAGCCATCTGCCTATGGCCTTGCCTTACAGAACGCCATCACTTCTGCTTCCCAATTTTACGCAGGGGTTGTGTTCATTTTCCAGAGATGGCAGGCCCCAAGCTGAAGTGTCCAAGCTGTGACTAGCAGCCGGATATGATCCAGTTGAGAGAACTTTCTCAGGAAAAGGAACAAATGATCTTCTGGAAGACCTTCAAGCTCAGCCTTCAGCAAATAGTGTTTAATGAAAACAGGCATTATAGCTTACCAGTTGGATAAATTATGAAATTTATTTATATTTTACCTTTTGAAAGCCAGAACATAACAAATTTCACTTTCTGGAAAGTCATCTTATTAGAAATACATGAAGTGCACTTAATACAAGGAAATAAGTTTCTTGGTACCACCAGTGAGATGGACGTATGCTCTCATTATTTCCCTCAAATGAGGGTTTTGTCAAATTTTCCTCCTAACCTCTACTGAGATGATTTCAATCCAGGGAGGTTTGAGTAAACTTTTTACAGAAATTACAGTGAAGAAGCTGACCTTTAACATTTGGGTTAAAGTATACATCGGAAAAAACTATTTTGCCCCAATGGGCTCCATCTTCGCTGGTGACTAAGCACTGGCAGCTCTTCATCGGCAGGCAGGGAGAGACCACAGCAGCAATTACAGACCCAAGCCCACTGTCATCTGAACCTCAGCCACTGACCAGAAAAAAATTTCCATATTCAGACTAGATGTGTGACATGAAAGAAGAAACCTAAATCCATATGCCTTTTGGTCAATCAGAGGTTCTGTTTCTACAGATTAGGCTGGTAGCTCTTACCCTTATATTTACAAATATTTGTAGAATATGTAGAACTTCTAGTTTCTAAAGCTGTTACTGAAGTTTCTAGTAGACAGCTTTTACTAACAACTGCTCGTTATGACATGTGCCTTATGAAGTGTGTCTCTTGGAAGAGACAACGGAGTGCAAAACTGGGTTTCCTATAGCTGTGCTCTGCATTCAGAAAGCAGATTTTCACATATGGATTTACATGTTGAAACCAGTGTCATAAAACCATCTGTGATACAAAAACAATGGTCAGTTTAAGTTACCAAGAAGAAGATAAAAGAATTAGTATCTGCTTGGAGCCTTCTCTTCCTTCTTATTCATTTGAGGACTCCTTTTCATGTGTCAAGAACAAGAAAGGCTCCCAGAGAGGCAAACATGACCCAGTCATTTGAAAATACCTCATTAGTTTGAAAATTAGAACCAAAAATCTATGGACTCCCACCTCTTTTAGCTGACTCTCCTCCCCACTTACAGATTACAGAAATTTCAATCTTCCTGACCTGGAACACTTCCACTAAAAACATATGGTTAGACCTTATCCTAAAAAGGCACCATGCAGGCATTTAAGACCGAACCAGTTAATTCTAAGGATGTGCAGAAGTAGTAGGGAAGTATCACTAATCAAAACTTCCAGCATTGGATCATGCTGAACTCAGAACATTCACCCTGAGGACTTATGAAACACAACCTCCAGCTTGCAGCAGCTGCCGCCAATGCCCACTGGCAAGCAGCTCTGCCGCACACAGCAGCTTCAGCATGAGTCAGGGGCACTGTCACCAGAGCCCACACACCTCAGGGACAAGGAAAGAAGCAGCTTGTTTCGTTGTGCTCTTCATGACCCAGAATAGGTCCTGGCTGGCTCTGAGGACCTGAGAGATGAACACTGGATGGGAGGAATGAGTGTGAAACAAGAACAGGGTAGAGGTGAAAAAGCTGGATTCTCTTCCAGAAGAAGAGGCAGAAGCTCCAAGAAGCAACTAAGAACCAATAGACTAGAGCACGTGACAAACAAAGTTAACAGCAAGGAAGACAGCTTTGGCAAGAACCCAAAGGAAAGGAGGGCTCTGACCTGGGGACCCTGTCAGAAGTGACTCTGTCCCAAGGCCATAGATCATTTCCAAGTCTGTTGTACAGTTAAGGTGTAGGAGTCAAAAGTTTGACGTTTAACACATAATGGAAGCTCTAGAACATGAGATGGATGGCACAGACTCTGCTCACTGGTCAATGATGGAACGCTGCAACACTTGATTCATCATATCCTCTTCATCAACATCATAATCCTAAGGGCAAAACACAGACACACACAGCCTCAATAACTGTTCACAGCTACAAAGACTCACGTTCAGCACAAGGACTATGAAGAGGGCTCCCAGGGAACAAATCACAGCTTCAACATTTGCAATGCTAGTTATTCAACTCTGGGCAAATTACATCACCTGAGCCTTTGCTGCCTTACCCTGAGGTAAAAGAAACAATGCCACCTTCAAATAGGAATCACAGGGCCCAGAGAGCACATGAATGGAGCCTGGCACAGATCAAGCGCTCAGGACCTTTAATTTAGTATGTTAGAGCAGAAGGCAAACACAGGCATGAATGTACCCAGCTGGTGGTGTTTTTAAAAGATGGATTCAGTGTCTAGTATACAATTACAGTGTCTAGTAAGTTTTTAAAGGGCGATAAGGAACATCAGAAACTGTAGTAAAGCTAGCCTTCTTTAATTTGGGACAAAACTTATCTACTTGGGTATTTTTAGGAATTACATTCATTTAACATTAATAAAAAGTAACATTAATAAAAAGCTACTCCTGAGTAGTTAGGACTATAGCCACCCACCACAATGCCCAGCTAGTTTTTCTATTTTTTTTAGTAGAGACTGCATCTTGCTCTTACTCAGGCTGGTCTAAGCTGTCTACCCACCTTAGCTTCCCAGAGTGCTAGGATTACAGGTACGAGCCACTGTACCCAGTTAGACCTGACTTACTTTTTTTTTTT